CTAATTTAATTACATTAATAAATCAGAATACCGCAAAATTATTTTCTGTGTCGGGGGGCGGGGGTTCGATGAATGCGCATATGAAACTCGGGGGTTCGGTACCTCAAAAAAAGTTAAGAACCACTGATTTAACCTGAAAACCTTCGGGTTGATCCATGTATATTTCATGGTCACTGAGTGCATGCAAGTATGCGGCTTTAACGTCCATCTGGTTCAGTGTAAGGTCATGTTGTACAGCTAGTTGCATCAACACACGTAGTGAAGTCAAGTTTGCAGTTGGGGAGAATGTCTGAATAGTCAAGTCCTTCTACCTGACTGTATCCCTTTGCTACATACATAGCTTTATACGTCTCATACCCACCTTCCCCCCACTGTCTGCCTACCCTCTAGTAATGGTACAAGTGAGAAGGTGTTGTTCTCTTTAAATGAAATCATTTCATCTTTCATTGCCTTTTTCCACATATTAGATTTTGGCGATGCCAAAGCCTCTTTATAGGTCTGTGGCAGCCCAACTGCAGCTCTGTAACAGTAGTCAATGGTTATGTTACTGCTATGTACTGTGCACTCATAGTACTCCAAGTATTTATGTTTCTTTCTGACTCTACCTGTAGTACGTGGAGTCTGTGCACCAGTAGTTGAATCTGTGTCCATTTCTGTGTCTTTCTCAATGTCTGCGACCGCCTATCCTGTTTCTTCAGTAAATGGTCGACTACTATGACTAGGTGTAATTACCCACTCTATGTAGTGGTCCTCAGGTTGGTCCCAGTCAGTCTGTGTATGCCTCTCAGTCACACTCTTTTCAATGACGTGGACCAGTCTGTTTCTGAACCTTGTTTGTCTCTGAAAAATAAACCAAATAAGCAGGTGAATGACGATCAAAACCAACAAAAATTCCCGTTTTGCCTTTAGGATTAAGCTTCTTTTTGTTTTGTTCATACACCATACATTTGGAACCAAACTTTTTCATTTTTGACAGATCTGGCCTCTTTCCAGTGAAATGAAATAGGGTGTTTCCACTGTTCTCTTACAGTAACGCCTGTTCCTTATGACTGTAGCTGTCCTGGCTGCATAGGGCCATAGCTCTTTTTGTAAACCTGACTCAATCAGCATGCATCGGACCATTTCAAGTAATGTGCGCCAATTTCTCTCTGCAGTCCCATTTTGATGGGGAGAGCAGGGGACTGACCTCTCATGCTTTATAGCATTGTCCCTCAACAATGACTGGTACTCCTCCGACACAAATTCTGTCCTGTTGTCAGATCTCAGGCGTTTAACTTTACCGTAAGGCGCTGTGTCTGCCAAGAACTGCTTAGTTGC